TAGGATAATTATACTACGGAATCCGACCCCGGTTACGTCGTGTTTTGATATGACGTTTGTATTATGACAGATGCGCTACTTTTTCTTGTATGAAAAAGTTATGAGTAAAATATTTAGATGGGCCTATCCTTCCTTTTGAAATCATTGTGGCAAATGAAATTGGTAGTTGCTTATGGCAATATCTACTAAACGAAAAACAAAGAGGCATCCATAACATATTATTTTATACAAACGGTCGTTGCGGAGAAAACAATAACAGATTTATATTCGCTCTATATATTGTTGCGCGCCTAAGTTGACGTCTGGTACCTGGCACTAGCGCCGTCTAGTGTCGGGAACCTCAAGCTCGTAGCAATATTTATGCTACACAGAAGCTTCAATTGAATATCACATATAGATTCTTTGAAACCGGCCACGGCCAGAGCAAGGGGGATTCGATGCATTCGAACATTGAACGTGAGTTCAAACATAGAGTTGTATACACGCCTGATCAGATATACACAATCATTATGAACAAATGAAAACAAATGAAAGTACATGAAAAAAAATCAACTTAAAGAGATGAAGCAAACAGAATTTTACAATATAAAGGAGTTAATAGAAAATAAAAAACTGGTTAAAAAATGAGGAGAGCCAAAAAATATCATGGACTCAAATCATACATGTAATATGCCTCACATTCAAATGCGTCGATTTTAAAATATAGATACAACTTTGATTTCGAGTTTTCCCAATTAAATACATTCTGGCAGAAGAATAAGAAGCAGGCGGGGTACCGGCCAGTTACCAAGCCAAGTCCTGGCTATGTGCCTGAACATAACACCCTTATTTTGTTTTTGAACATTAATTTATAAGAGCTGAAGCTGTTTCATTAATAACAAATCATGTAATAGATAATATTAATAATTTCTTTCTCGTAATAATAATTTAGATATTTAGTGATCATAACATAATTAATACCAAATAGGTATAAAGAGAGTAAATTAAGAAAAATACTGGTTTTTTTTTCGTTTTGATTTTTTTTATGTTTTCATTTTTGAGGAGTGAGAACCTAGTTTAGTTTTCTATTCAACGATTTGGAAGACGTTCGTTACAATGCTAATTTTCTAAAACTAAAATTGAATAAAACTAATGTTGAATACCATATTATAGTTTTATTGGGAAACCGAATTAAAAGCTATTATAAGAAAAAAAGTTTCACAATGTTTTCTAGAATAAGACAATGTTAAAGTATTATCATCATCACTTGCAGCCTAAACACCCGTAGAATTAAATGATAAGTAAATATGATTAAAACTACTTTTACGGATTTTATCGCGTTTATTTTTACTTTTTATTATTAATTCCCGACGTTTCGGGCGCTTTCCAGCACCCATGGTCACGGGGGACTGAGATGACTGACGTCCCGATGTCATTGTTAAACCCGGAGTACCTTCAGCTTTTTTAATTATTGTTTATGGTCCGATCTATGCAAAATGAACTGACTATGTCCTGAGGTCTTGCAGTGGTATGCTTGGGTTTAGTTTTAATTTTATTGATTATAGGATCCCAAGCAGGTGGTAGTACCCAGCCTCCTTCTCTATTGAAATTAGGATGTTTTTTAATTTCAATAGCCTCACGTATCATCCTTGGTAGGAATCGGTGTTCTTTCGCGAGGATTTGTGGTCTATCAAATCTGATGTAATGGTTGGGGCCGTCTAGGATATGATCACAAACTGCAGACTTCCCGGAACGTTGATGCTTCACATCAGCTATATGTTCTTTTACGCGGGTCCTAATTGATCTTTTGGTTTGTCCTATATAAGAGAGACCACATTCACAATCAAGCTTGTACACTCCTGCATCTTGTAGAGGAATATGACACTTGACGGATGGTAGGAACTGACTAATCTTCTTCGGCGGCTTGTAGAATGTTCTAATAGAAGCTCGCTTCAAGATATAGCCAATCTTGTCTGTGACACCTCTGACATATGGTAGTACAGCAGGCACACGCTCGACTGTGGCCGGCTTCACTCGGTCACTGTGACGTAGGCGCGGGACCCGAAGCTTGTTGTCGTGCAGAACTTGCTTGACGTGCTGAAGCTCGGCGGCCAGGTGTTTGCTGTCACAGATCCCTCGTGCTCTCTGTAACAAAGATTTGCCCACGGTAGCTAACTGTGAAGGATGGTGGTGAGATTCACCGTTTAAATATCGGTTTGTATGGGTCTTTTTCCTATACACAGTGTGACCAATGGTGTTATTAGGATTTCGGATGACTAACACATCTAGGAAAGGTAAGGAATTATTTGCCTCTAACTCCATAGTAAATTGAATTTTAGTGTTTATGGAATTAAGATGTTCTAAAAATGCAGTTACTTTGTCTGATGGTAAAATTGTGAAAGTATCGTCTACGTACCGCTTGTACGTACCGCGTAACGGCGTTGCCGCGTAGAGGCAAATAATTCCTTACCTTTCCTAGATGTGTTAGTCATCCGAAATCCTAATAACACCATTGGTCACACTGTGTATAGGAAAAAGACCCATACAAACCGATATTTAAACGGTGAATCTCACCACCATCCTTCACAGTTAGCTACCGTGGGCAAATCTTTGTTACAGAGAGCACGAGGGATCTGTGACAGCAAACACCTGGCCGCCGAGCTTCAGCACGTCAAGCAAGTTCTGCACGACAACAAGCTTCGGGTCCCGCGCCTACGTCACAGTGACCGAGTGAAGCCGGCCACAGTCGAGCGTGTGCCTGCTGTACTACCATATGTCAGAGGTGTCACAGACAAGATTGGCTATATCTTGAAGCGAGCTTCTATTAGAACATTCTACAAGCCGCCGAAGAAGATTAGTCAGTTCCTACCATCCGTCAAGTGTCATATTCCTCTACAAGATGCAGGAGTGTACAAGCTTGATTGTGAATGTGGTCTCTCTTATATAGGACAAACCAAAAGATCAATTAGGACCCGCGTAAAAGAACATATAGCTGATGTGAAGCATCAACGTTCCGGGAAGTCTGCAGTTTGTGATCATATCCTAGACGGCCCCAACCATTACATCAGATTTGATAGACCACAAATCCTCGCGAAAGAACACCGATTCCTACCAAGGATGATACGTGAGGCTATTGAAATTAAAAAAACATCCTAATTTCAATAGAGAAGGAGGCTGGGTACTACCACCTGCTTGGGATCCTATAATCAATAAAATTAAAACTAAACCCAAGCATACCACTGCAAGACCTCAGGACATAGTCAGTTCATTTTGCATAGATCGGACCATAAACAATAATTAAAAAAGCTGAAGGTACTCCGGGTTTAACAATGACATCGGGACGTCAGTCATCTCAGTCCCCCGTGACCATGGGTGCTGGAAAGCGCCCGAAACGTCGGGAATTAATAATAAAAAGTAAAAATAAACGCGATAAAATCCGTAAAAGTAGTTTTAATCATGTGCAATGTTCGCGTAAATATAAGAAATCATTATGATAAGTAAATAGTGCAATATTTGATTCTGGTCAGGCTGTACGGAGAATAAAATTATAACCGACATTATACAACTTACACAATGATCGATTTTGACTAACTTCTTATTTTTTAAATAATGTCTCTATTTTACTAAATAGGCGTGTTCCACTAAAATATTTCGAACGAACGAAAAATAACTTTTTTTCAAAGCTAACAATCATCAGTCAACGTCCAGTACTTAAGTAGCAATCAACGAAAACATGTTTTTTATTTTTCCTGAAAAGTTGCCATTTTGTAATTATATTCTCCGGGGACGGCGTTGTGTCTTCCGGGGCTTGAACTGGACTAAATTTTAGATTTAGTCGTTCATAGTCCGAGATCTTGTTCAACAAAGAGTCTACTTCAGTCACAAGTTTATTTCGTTATTCAACGACGTTTTCCCAAATATTTTGTAAGGCTGAAGTATAAGGCTTCGCCAGTACTGTCATATGCATAACAATGAATGACTGGTTTATAACATATCGTTGATATGCAGAAGAAACAGGGTAGGCGATATCACGCAACGTAATGGAACAACAGCATTCACAGGCTTGGAGTCGGAGCATGCACCGTCCATTGCGACCTTGATTGTATGAAAACTGGTGATCAAATTACATAATTTCTCGGGAAGCCCATAAAATGGAAGCTTTGAAAGAAGCGTTTTATGCTAAACCCAATAGAATTCCTTCGACTAACCGCCATGACCTCCCATTGGACACAACCGCCTGCGCCCATCGGTGTGTTATGTAACTAGTTGAGCGACCCCGACGAAAACGGTAGTGGCGTAAACTAATCAGCTGGTGCTCTTCAAGGTACCGCATAAACTGGCAGTTATTAATGGATTTCATTAATTTCGAGAATAAGTACCTACGTATGTTTTGTGGGTGGAAACATTTCTACACAACACGGTCAAATTATAATAGTACGTATAGATCAGACATAATGTGACGTCAGTTACGCCAGTTCAGTTTCCGCCTGCCACAAAGAAACAGACTTTAGCTCTAACGACACTTCTAACATTCGAAAATAGCACTGATTCCCGACTTTCCAAGTGCTCGGACATAGCGGTATCAAAGAAAGAACAAACGACAGGAAAACAAAATGCAGAACTATTTTTCTTAAAGCATTGTTATAATATTATGTTTAGTATGACATAATTTGAAATCTCGAAGTACCTACAAAATACTAGCAAACCTATCAGAAAACGGCAATTTTTATAGGAAGGTGTAAAAAGAACAAATGAGCAAATACTGTTCATCTAAAACTATTTATTACTGAATTTTCGGTACTTTATTTTGTTATACTACATTTTGTTCTATTGCTTGTATCTTCGTCATATTATGATGTAATTTTTTTAATTAGATACAGTATGAAGTAAGATTTTAAATGCATTTCTTTGTACTGTTGTAAAGAATTCACGGCTCAATTCAATATAATTATAATTTATTAAGAAATTAATTGCATTACTTAACAAACAACAAAAATCTATGGACATATTTTAATTAACGATCACACTGTTTTTTCTACACTTCTTTCTCCTTGCCGCTGGCCGTATGGAAGTCGCGGCATGCCTCTTGGTTTCTCGGTCGTCTTTTTAACAATAGTGATTTCCGAACTCAGCAACTGATCTAAAGTCTAAAAAATATATATGTTCTATTAGAATATATATATATTACATAAAAATAAAAAAATATAATAACTCAATGTACATATTATATGACAATAATTTTTGCATTAAGTGTAATTAGAAAAATTCACCTGTGAATCAATAAGGTTACGATCTCTCAGTGCTTTCTCGATATTTTCAAACTCCTTTTGAATATCTTTATTAGCTGCTTTTTCTACAGCATTCCGCACTTTAGAAATCTAAAAAATATAGTAGGTTAGCAGCTAATAATTAAAAAAATACTAGTTTTTACGGATTTATATATTATTTCAACGTGTAGTGTTCGCGTAAATTTAAGAAATCATTAGCTCATAATTATATCAAATACTCTTAATAATTCGATAATTTTTATTGTCATAATCCTTACGGTTTCTTCAAAGAAAGTATGTTTTCCTTTTTGTTCTGGTGTGTCATTATCCATGACAGCCCTCAGTATTGGTAAAGCATCATCTACTCTGCCGATATCTGCTAAAGCAATGGCCTGTAATAGTAAAAAAAAGATCATTGTAATAATATATGATTAGAAACGTCATTCCAATAATTCCATAGTTCTCACTCTAAAGAATAAAGTTTTTATCCTTTACCTAAGCAAATGCGTTATTTTCAGTAGTAAAAATAAAGATACTGATAGAGATATCATAATAGACTTTATGTTACAAAGTTCATTATTTTTCTACTAAATATGCAGATCAGATCAAAACCACAAGGAAATTATACTTTCACATTAAACTTAATATGTTTACAAAAGTTTGTAACATGTATGACGGCGTCGAAGTCGCGTCAGGGAAGTTAAATTGAAGATATTTTAAATAGCAACTTGTTAAACAGCACGTGCAGAGGTGCGCGTGCATAACGCGACTTCCTGCCTCCCCACCTCCCTACTACGGAGTGATTTTACAGTCGCCATATAAGTTCGGCTTCTCGTATGAACAAGGCCTTCCCCATATTGCGGTAGTGGTTCAAGACGAGGTTCATACCTCCTTCAGAGGAGCCCTTGAATCACATCGAGCCCCCCCCCCCCCCTCCCTATCTAGAGGAGCCTCATTCCAAAAGCAAGGGCTGGGGTGCCTCGGAACTGCAATTGGCGAATCGACAACTGCTGTTCCGGCAGAATGGTTGCACTCAATAGCTCATAAGTCCTCGCTCACGACTCGTGAGCGAGGACTCGTGAGTCACGAGTCTATTTCGGACTCGTGAGTCACGAGTCTATTTCGATGAAGCTGTAAAGGCCGCGGGGCCAACAGCGTACACTTTCAGAAAATAAAACGAACGAGGCTACGAGCCATTCTGTCTAGGTTTTTTGTTTATCGTGATAATGTTCTTTGTGGCCTTTCCTTCCGTAAATATTACTGTACTATGTTCATTCCATTAAAGGCCTTAGATCGGTCTCGTTAGTCGTGATTCTGTTATTGTGGCATTTCTACATAAAGCATTCAATGGGTTATCTTCTTTGTCTTGATGATTTTTTATATATGCACGAATACTTCACATAGAATGAAACTAATATTACAGATTCTATTGCATTTAATTTTAACTTTTGAATTGCCGATGTTTCGAGAGCTTTACAGCACCCCATGGGTGGGGGGTGAGACATTCATTAGTTTTGGTCTTTCTCTACATTTCGTAGGATCAGTAATGATTGCATCAGGGAGTTATCGTCTCACCACAACACGTCTGTACCAGCCAGCCTGCGCATGTCAGAAAGGCCAACGTCGTAGTCGTGACGAGTTAAAGTGAGAATATTTTAAATAGTAATTTGTTACAAGCAGCACGAGCAGCGATGCGAGTGAATCACGCTACTTTCTACGAAGTTGTATATAGTTGAAAAGATCTTTTGAATGATTTTTATTCAATATAGATTATTACTAGAGATCGAATTATCGGATGCATATTTAGCAAAAGTAATTTAGCCAACAAATTATGGAAGCGGCTTCTTAAGATATTTTTATTAAAAATAAAATTCCGGAATCGCATAAGTAACTAATCAAATAAATATTTACTTAAAGTTAAATTTTAATTTCCCATTCGAGTATGTGGTGAGGTAAATAAGAAAACGTAAATTAATATAAATTTATTTATACATTAGGTATAACTTAGATAATATTTTTATGTTGTACTTACAGTAAATACATAGAAGAGAAATGAAAGTTAGAAACGTTGTAAATGGGCACTTTTGGGTACATAAACAATTGTCATACAAGAATTAATGTCGCTCAAGTTATTGTGTTGTTTTCCTTACAAGTAGCCATTATATGCATTTCTTACATAGTTAATAAGAAAACAAAAACTCACAACTAGTACATTTTGTATTTCGCCATTAAGGTGGCAGCGAGATAAATGTGGAGAGATTTGGAAGAGACCTATACTCAGCATTGGGTGGTCTATCCATAACTATGGTTCAGTCACTGAAATCTGTTATTTATGTATCTGTGTTAAACATGATGGTGTTACGGCTGGTTCTACTGATCAAAACTTCTGGATTCAGGATTATTCAGAGAATTGTAGTATACAATAATAACTTTCTCGATGTTATCATTTGTTAGTCTAGTTTTTTTCAAATTCAGGATCCACTTGTAGGTTGAAAAGGAACTCTCCACATCTACAGAAGTGAAATAAACGGCACAAAATTTGTAAATACCGGAGTCATTTTATTTATTACGTGTTTCACTTATATCCAACATCAAAATCAGAGTCTATTGATAAGTTGATCCATTTTTTTGATAAACATATTTTTGGATTTCTGGTTTAAAATGAATCTTACGTCGTCAAATATTTCGAATGTTTTAGTTATAAACAGGTCGATTTTTTTATTTTACTATTGCAACACGTAAAGATAATATATATATATATATATATATATATATATATATATATATATATATATATATATATATATATATATATATACACTCTAAATCATTCTTCAAATTAAGTTTAGCTAGTACTTCCCTAGCAATTCTAATAGACATGGCTTTGATTAAAACTACTTTTACGGATTTTATCGCGTTTATTTTTACACGGGGGCCCCCGTGACCATGGGTGCTGGAAAGCGCCCGAAACGTCGGGAATTAAAAATAAAAGTAAATAAAAAGTAAAAATAAACGCGATAAAATCCGTAAAAGTAGTTTTAATCATGTATAGTGTTCGCGTAAATATAAGAAATCATTAGATATGGCTTTGTTGCTATCCAATAAAGTTACAACACTCAATATTTTGTCCAATTGATTGCTATAGTAAAATGCCGCCTCTAGCCATGTTTCCTACCAAGTGATAAATGTCTCTGGAGGCAAAGGTAAACTTGGATGTAGTTCCTTTAAAATTCGTACTCTGTTGGGAGCTTTAAAAAATATTTTTTGACATTAATTAGTGTCTACATCACCGTGGTTTAAACGTATTGTCTCTGTTAATATTTGCAAGACGTAAGCTAAACACGTAAATTTTTTTATAGTGGGAAATGTATTTTTTAATATTTTATTAGCCAGTAACATTTACGCTACGCTGTCGCTACATAATATTAAGACGGCCAGCAGTTTGTTGTTGAATTGGTCCCCCCATAAGTTTTTTAGACCTTGAATCACAAACTCGGACATAGTACGAACGTTATATCTTAAGTTTGACCAATTAACAGGTAAATTCGTCCCGATGAGTTTTTATACTAAAAAAACTTATATTTCGTCCCAGAAAGTCTGTGGTTTTGTCTAAAGATATCCATATCTTATTGTTTTGTACTTCATTGTAGAAATAAGTTTCATTTTATCTTCATAAACATTTTATAGACTTTACCACGAGTTATTTATTATATTATATATATTTTCTCACTATAATCAAAATCAGTTTTCCAGCTATATACAAGCAGGTAAAATGTATTTAAATGATTTTGTATAAAGAAATAATTCTTACTTTTTTAATGTGGTGGATTTTCCACCATACCATTTGTAGCAAAAAATCGTCGTTGCAAAACAAAAATCCAAATCACAATGCAAATCAGAAACCGTTGTTCAATAGCCAAGTGGTAATTGAAGAAATTAGAAAAGCTTGAGAAACACACGAACGCATAGCAATATTGATGTATAATATATTACACTAGATTAGTAATTACCGCGCCAAAGTGTTGCCACTGCACATATGGCCACTGCCATATGCCTAGCTAACGTCAGTTCAGTGTTCAATGTGACGCCGACCGAGTTGAGCCGAACAACACAAAAACATAATAAATTAAGAGGAATCATTTTCCACTCATAAGTTTGAGTTCATGTTTTCATATAAACGTAAAAACCTCAAATAATTAAATAAAATTATTGAATATTGCGATTTAGGTTCAATGTTGCCACTTTTCCGCCTTTGTGATTATCACACATTGATAGAGTATATAATTAATGGAGTAAAGTAATTTGTTATCTCTGATTTTAAATATTTTGGAAATTATAATAAAAACTACGTTTTAATTTTCATACAAAATAATGAATTATTCTTATTTTATTTTATTCATGATATATTTTAAATATATTTTATTACCTATTTTAATTAATAATTTTATATTAATTATATTTTATTACTTATTTTATATTGTTTGATTTATTAGTACAATAAAAAATACTTAAAAAAACTATGTTTTATTTCATCAGTTATGCTTACTTATATTCATCTGATAAGAAAATACACTTTTTTAAATAAAAACAATTAACTGCAGCTTAAAAATACTCCTTTTTATTGCGTATTTTGGGGAAAATTTTATATAGTAAGCCACACCGACCCGCCATTGACTGTTTGTGTCTATCTTTATCTAATCTTAGCGAGGGTATTGTTTTCGCAACTTGTGTAAGTGAGACAGATATATGTTTATTTAAAATGGTTAGTATTTTCAAAGCTACGTCGTTGCGGTTGGATAGTGATTACACTTTTTTCGACGCGCGGTAATGTGGTTTGCTCCTCTAGTTATATAGAACTCAATGCATAACGAACACAGCGTCGAACGTATAACGAAGCGTTGTACGGTCGCGTCACTACTTGCGCAGAATCAAGTATAATTTACACTCGCACTCTTAGAAAATGTTTATATTTCCTGAGGTTTAAAGGTCACAGGTCATTAGAGCCACCCGGCACCCGACCCTCACCGCCAGTGGCGGAGCAAGACCTAAATTTTATGTGGGCAATATACATTTTGCGAGGCCCTCTGCCCGCGCAAGAAGACGGATTATATAAAATTAAAAACAAAACACTTCACATTATGAAATTTATACAAAATCATTAAGTACCAACACCAAACAATTTAAAAAAAATGGAAAAATAGATATTATTCTGCTTTTTATCCTGCTGAATTGTTTAATTATAGTCTCATAATATAGCTTGGATGCTGAATCTTGTGTGTGCCAATTGAAAAGGAACCAAATGGTTTGTAAACGTTCAACTAAGAAACAGAAGGGATGAATCGAGGCTTCTCTCGATCCGGCCTCCTATAACGCCTACGTTGGGTTCGGGAACAACGTATGTGATCTCCGCAACGGAGTAACACACAAGGGCGATAACCTCTTCCTTTTCAGCAAATAGGTTCAGACGGGGATTACGGGTCTTCCGAAGTCGTCCCGGTCCCAACGCCTTAATTCTTCGATGTGGACTGTATAATTTTGAGGGATGAATTTCTTGGGAATAAAACAGCAATTATCTTCAAACCGTTCCGTGAGAGAGTAATTACTTTTCCCTATCACTTCCCTACACTTTTTCTTTCTTCTTCTTATTGACTGCTGGTCTTGCACTTTTCCCGAAGGATTTTCGTACTTATTTCTCGAATATTTCCCGAAAGATTCCCGAACTTCCCGAAGGATTCCCGAACTTCCCGAAGGATTCCCGAACTTCCCGCTGTATCTGCCTCGATAGATAAAACTTTTAATGCAGAAAGTCTATTCTGTGACATTGCATTCCTGAGATAATTTTAACGAGTTTTAATTTTAAGAAGCTTCCATTAGCGGAGGCTGTACTGATCGGTATTGTTAAATGACGATGTAAATGTTCGGGTATATTTTTTTAAATTATTTTCTGTAACGTGTTGGAGAAGCTGTTTCACATCTGTTACGAAGTTAGGTAAATTAAGGATCATTAATTGTAATTCTTCATATATAATTCGTAAGGTTGAAAGTCACTGCTTTCAACCACTCACAGGGCTGTGTGTAAATCTTGACAGTTATTTTAATATTAGATAGTTTCGAATATTTTTTAACTTGTTTAAATCATAAAGGAAACCAAAATTTTCTTATTGTCGGTTTAAAGCCATAAATCTCAAATCCATATTTGTTATAATTGAACAAGCATGGTGTTGAAAAAGTCTGTTTAATACCGACTTTTAGGAGACTGTAAAGGTTAATCCTTGTCTTCATAATCCAAGATCCTTTTCTTTTTGGCTACTCTTTCATTTTTAGTCTTTTAGCAGATCGAAACAGTTTTTTTCAATAAACTGTTAAATACCAGACAAGCATTTTTCGAAACAAGTTTGTCGATATTCTTTAATCCAGTCACGAAATGTACGTAAACGTTCTAGAGCTTTAATTTGTCTTCACCTATAGTGACCCTACCAAAATAGGTAACAATTTTGCAAGTTCTTAAAAGCTTTGTGTCTGTTCCGTTTATCTACTCATGTGCGTAAAGCGCGAAAATATACGCGTACAGCAACTACGTGGGCTGCTGTACCGCACTCTACTCGATTGCCACGCGCCCACGATTAAATAAAGTCAGTATTCTATGTCTAACAAACAGAACGGGGAATCCTCAGCCTTTGTCGCCCCCATAGATTACTGTATATATATTGGTCACCCCGCAGCGGGGATTCCCCGCAACAGCAATGCAAACTAATGTTACTAGACTGAATAAAAACATATTTAGTTATGTCAATAATATCGATTCATGACAATGAAATTTTTTCGGCGCGTTTTTTTTTTATAGAAGAGGGGGCAAAGGAGCATGCGGCTCACCTGATGTTAAGTGACTACCGCCGCCCATGATCAACCGCAACACCAGGGGAATTGCAGGTGCGTTGCCGGCCCTTTAGAAAGGAGTAAGCTCTTTTCTTGAAGGTCCCCAAGTCGTATCGGTCCGGAAAATTCGCCAGTGGTAAACTATTCCACAGCGAGGTCGTACGCGGAAGAAAACTCCTTGTGAAACGTACAGCGGTGGACCGCCAAGCATCCAGATGGTGTGGATGGTATAGGGACGTTTGCCGCGTAATGCATTCACGAAATTTGGCGGCTAGGAATAATTCGAACAATTCCTCAGAGCACTCCCCGTGGTATACGGGAAAGATAATGCTAAGAGAAATGCGTTTACGGTTTTAAGTAATGCATAAACTTCCAGGGCGCGAGGCCCCCTGGATCGCGAGGCCGTAGGCGGTGGCCCACGTCGCCCACGCCTTACGCCGCCTCTGCTCACCGCCTTGCCTCGAGCGGTTCCTATTCTTCGTATGGATTTAGTATGAGCCTGCACTCACTACATCAACTCCGTACCATCACGGGATCGCCTCGCTCGCGAGGTGTCCACGCGCGGACTGCGTGTGGACCACCCGATTGCGGCGCCGCGCATCGCTGAACCGCGAGCTGGCAACGCGCGGTTCACGCGAGTGCGATGCGGCGCTCTCCACCAACCCTTCATTTCAAGCCTTTCTTTCGAATGTGTCGGACGCATTGATGTTTGTTTTTAAAATGAACAAAGAAAAACTTATAGAAGTTCGGAAGTATAATTTATTGTATGATTTAAGGGTCACTCGTTGATCACGCGAGGTCCACTCGTTGACGACGGGAGGTCCACTTGATGACCACGCGAGGCTTACTGGTAACAACGCGGTGTCCACCCGTGGTCCACCTGTCGACTACGAGTGGACATCTGGCGACGAGGCGGTGAGGGTCGGGTGCCGGGTGGCTCTAATGAGCTGTGACCTTAAGAGGCCCAATTTGACAACGGCTACTGTCATTTGTGTCAAACTGTGTTTATTACATCATTTACATCTCACGGAATATACACTTAAATTTGAATTTCCGAGAATCACGGGATTTTTTAAATAAAAAAGTGTTTAATTAAAATGGTACAGACCCAACTCATTCCAAATTTGAGCCCTAACTCGGTAGTGGTAATTGATGATACATACCACAACAAATTAATGAACCCTGTCTCTACATCTAACGACAAAAAACAATGGAATCGTGATTAATGGGAAAAAAGGTTTACAATATGAAAAGGAGATGCGCAAACCAGTTATTCGAATTAATAAAAAAAACAATGACATACATAAGAAATACGTAATAGACAACATCTTTAAGATAGAATCACGAGGTACTGCTATGGTTACCCTAATCTGGATGATATGCATCCAGATTAAAACCTCGTTGAAACGGCGTTGGTTTCTATTAAAGGTTAAAAACGTTGACGGGAGTATAACCTGGACAATGGAGTTCGTTTAGGATAAATTTAATGTAATAGAGTAAGAAGAATAAGAAGGTGCTATGTGTAGAAAAGTGAAAAACGTGGAGGAGGAATACAGGAAGACCATGACTGTTATTGATGAAATGACTGAACGATTCATCATCACAGCAGGGTCAGACTCGAAGTGAATCTGAAAGTGAGAGCGACGATTCCGATGATGAACCTATTCTAAGCACCTCACATGGGCAAAGAGCATGTGATTAGTTCATGTTAGGGATTTCCCCTTCAGTGACAGTGATTGATTTTATAGTCCGTACATATTGAATTTTTAAATAATAATAATAATGCCTTATGGCATCAAGTCCGCCTTATGTACCACCACTAATGTGGATTAGTGTAAATAATGAATAAATAAGACTTGCCTTTGTGATTACAAAAATCTACTTCGGTATGTATTTGTTTTATTTGTTTTTTTTTTACTGTGCATTAACTTTTTTGTCTCTCAATAACAGTTTTCTTCACCAGTGTCCCTGCGCGAAAGTCCGGAGAGCCTATATTCAGAGCGGCCATGACTCTTCGACCGTACGGTAGCTGGTATTACAAGCTTATGTTTGTTCCTAGTGTTAAAAATAGCTTTGATAAGAATAAAGATGTTCAAATACTTTAGTTTTTATGTACATACAAATACATTACTTTTTCATAAATATATTGCGATACTAAAGTTGATATGTTTATAATCTATAATATCTTTAAACTATTGTCTATGGGACTCTTTACAATTATAGTTATAAATCGCCAGTACAGCTCTCTTTTGCTCGAATTGTCGTACGGATGGGACCATCCAGATTAAGTCTTTCGATGTGTCATCTTGTTTGTCTTGAATCCGTCTATTGCGGGCATTCCGCTAAAGTCATTAAATTACTTATTTATTTTAAATTTACTTGTTAGCGCTTACTGTGTTTTCTCTTTAACTACGCTAAGCCTAAATAGTATAAAATAATTATAATAGTTATGTTTATATTCAAAAACACTTAAAATGACATTAAAGTTTAGTGATTGTTTTTAAGAATGTTTTTGTAATTTAGGTTCTGTATTGCACTTCAAGACAATATTATATTCCCGTTATAATAGCCCATATAATAAAGTACTTTAGGTCATTATAATGGTTGTACTAGACTGTCTGCCTCGTTGGTCTAGTGGTTGTAGTAGTGTGGCTGCTGATCATGAGGTCTTGGTTTCGAATCCAAAAATTTGGGTCGGGCCAAAAAATCTATTATTGAGTTTTTCTGTCAAGAAATTCTCAGTAGCTGCCCGGAGTCAGGAAGTTGGCGGTGTCTCACCCTCGTGCCTCGGAAAGCACGTAAGGCCGTTGGTCCTGCGCCTGATCTCTCTCCGGTCGTGTCGGTTTATCGTACCATCGGATTATGAGAGTGAGGGAATAGAGAGTGCACCTGTTCTTGCGCATACACTCTGGCACTGTAATCCTTTCCTGCGCCGATGGCTAGTCTCCGTTGAGGCCGACCGCCGTGGCCGAAATTCGGTCTGGAGGACATCATTACTAGACTTAAAAGATAACCCTGACCCATATTTTTAAAATATGATTTTGCTCTGAAGTGCACTTAATAAGGGTTTCATCTTACTAAAAACGTAATTTTCACATGTTCACATCATTAATAATAATTATAATTTTTAATAATAATAATATTAATTTTCACATGTTAACATCATTACGATATTTCTCTTGAAAAAACCTTAAAACATGAAGTTTTAGATGCAAATTGCTTGCACCCTCTTAATTATTCAAGTATTTTACTAATAAAAAACTTTGTTTTATACGGTATTTCATATTAATTTAAAGTATAACATTATTATCAAATATTAAACAAATCTTTTAATTTAAATTTTTTTATCACACTGATGAAACCTATTTGTGATTTAATACTTTTTACATATGTAAAAAGCTTTTTCATTTTATCAACAACAATCAATTGCACCGATAGTATAGCTGAATGTCTACGGTTATAATTATTTCTGAATTACCTTGATATTTCTAACAGTCACATAATGTGGCGTTTGCATGGATAATGATTCCAATGCTACATGGGGGGCGCCCTGCTTTAAAGCCAGTGCTGAAAATAAATAGTTTTCATGATTATCACTCACATAATGAAAACCTTTATAATATGCCACATGTTGTGCAGTATACCAGCAAAAAATGTGGCAGCTCTTCTGACAGGCGTTGTTCCCACACTTAACATTTCAGACCATATTTTTGAAGCATACTCCATACTTTTTGGTGTGTTCTAAAACAAAACACGTGGAAAGATAACAAGTAAGTCCTTAAAACATCTAAAACTGCTAAAGCTAGCTAGTTCAGTCTATATAAATCCGAAGTTATGGGCCAAAGTTAAAAAGATGTATTCATAAGGTTTGATGATTGCAATACACTGCATTCACTAATCCACCTACCAAGCAAAGCATAAGTAATAAAATGTAAGCAATTTATTTATTCCATCAGACTACTAAAATCTATTGTTTGTTAGTAAAACTCCATTTATGTTAATAACAGTGTGTATCCTTATATTATATTTATTTTATTATTAACTGTCCCACTCAGTGTTTCAGGAGGGGACACAACAACAGTGAACTTTATCAGCAACCATAGGGTTACCGTTCGTCGTCAGTATGCTCTTGCACAAACTTTAAAGATGCATACACATACATTGGTTGTCTGTAAGAAATTGCTATCAGCAATAAGACCGCCCATTGCATACTTCTTTTGTTTATAATATAATCTGTAATTTTTATATGGTGTGCAATAAACAATATTAAATAAATAAATAAAAAATTGACACAGTGATCATAGCAATACTGCTCTTTAAGAAACTGCTAGCACAATTATTAAGCAAGGCTTATAAATAATTGAACTTATAACTCACTTGTTTATAGCAAGCTGCTAAAATTAGAATGAGAGGATATTTAGGAAACTTTGTCATATTTAACTGTTTTTCTTGTACTCTTTCGAACACTCTGTACATTTCTTCATACATTTCATGATTGTATAGTAAATCAAGCAATATCTGATAGGATACTTGTTGATCAAAGAAACCATTATTATCTGGATCTTCAAAACACTGAAATAAATGTTAAAGTATTTTTAGTTACAATTACAGATTTCACAATGTAAAAACAGGAATGGAAAATTAAGATAACTTTTATCAGGCAAAAATTAGAATTCCAAAGAAGCCAAGAATACATTTAAAGAATTCATCCATTCTCATACAGCAGACTAATTTAAGAGCATCATTAAACTGCCCAAAAAATGGCAAAAATGTATTAAAATAGTTTAGGCAAATATTTTATTAATAAGTATTTTATATATTTTTGATATTAAATTTTCCACACAAAAAGATAATTTCATAGGTAAAACGGTCTGTATAAAAAAATACCCAATATAATAGTTAAATAATTTACTCTGTATAAATATTATACTATTATTTCAATTGCATAGTAAAAGAAAACCCAGTGTTCCAGTTCTATTCTAGTTTACAGATGTGTCCTTCAAGCCAGAATTCTCCGCAACAATATTTGAAATTACTTATAGGCTGTAAGACAATCTAGCTTAGTTCCTACATTTATTTTAGAATAGACGCGAAACAAGCATACTGTTATGTCGGTACTTCGATAATAAATGTGATGTGAGTTAATTTAAGTTTTCAATAAACAGTCGTTACCAGATCTCTGCCTTTTATTGACGTGTACATTACATTGGCGCAGTCGGTCTAGAAGTTCGGTACTTACGTGGAATTTTGTTTGACATAATGCCAATTGGGAAAATAGAACCTTTTAATATCGAAAGCCAAAATTGGGACAGTTACATTCGTCGCGTAAAACAATTTATATTGTTAAATAGTATCGATGACAATCTAAAAGTAGCTACGCTTTTGACGTTAGTGGGTTCCGAGTGCTATAATCTTATTTGTGATTTATGTTCACCCGCGGAACCGGACACAAAGAAGTTCGAAGAATTGGTTACCACTCGTCGAAAATCATTTGGAGCCGGAGAGATCTGAAATAGCGGAGCGACACATTTTTCGGCAGCGGACGCAACAGCAGGGAGAAAGTATTCGTGTTTACCTACATGGTCTAAAACACTTGGCTAAAACCTGCAACTTCGGTAATACTCTGGAAGAAAACCTTCGTGATCAGTACAGCGAATAGATGCGGTCAAGATTGTTTGCCGAAAAGAGTATAAACTACAAAAAGGTTGTGGAGTTGGCCACGGCGCTCGAGGCAGCTGAGCGGCATGCGAGCACGGCATGCGCATCGGGCGGCGCGAGCGCTGGCGGAGCTGGCAGGGCCAGCGCAGCGGCGGCGAGGGCGGCCTGCACCGGTTCGGCAGCGGCGGAGCGCGCGCACGATCAGGCGCGGCTCCCGTGCCTACGACGGTGACGTCACAGCGTCGGCTTTGTGCGCGTTGCGGTAAGACCGGTCACATAGCCGGTAAGTGTCGTTTTAAAAATTATACATGTGATGCGTGCGGCCAGAAGGGCCATTTAAAAGTAATGTGTCAAGGTAAAAGTGAACTTAAGAGTGCAAAGGAGAACAAAGGTCAGTACTTTTTAAATGATTCGGACTCAGATGATGACTGTAATTTTTTTAACTTGATTACAAGTAATGACGGTGACGGACCGTACTATGCGAATTTAGTTGTAGAAAAGGTGCCATGTAAATTTGAAATTGACACGGGCAGTAAAATATCGGCTATTTCGAAACATTTTTATGATAAACATTTTAGACATGTACCTATTCAAACTAAGTTGTTATGTCTGAGATCATATACTGGCGACGTTATCGAGGCCATCGGTTATATTGTGGTAATGGTTATCTGTAGTTCAAAGTCGGCGGTGTTTAAGTTATTTATTATTGAAAACGGCGGTCCACCTTTAATGGGCCGTACGTGGATTAAGAAATTGAAAATAGAAATTGTTGAATGTCACAATATTAGCGACTCGGAGTCGGTAGCAAAAGCTTTGAGAGACGAATTCCCTGAAGTGTTTGCAGAAGGTTTAGGTACATTCAAGTCACCTGTATCGCTGCACCTCAAGGTTGAAACTCCTGTGTTTGTGAAGGCTCGGCCGCTGCCATTGGCACTGCGCCCGCGAGTCGAAAGCGAACTCAAACTGTTAGAACACGAAGGGGTTATTTACAAAGTCGAAAGGTCAGAATACGGTACGCCTATTGTCCCTGTTATTAAATCGAATGGCTCAATCAGAATATGTGGGGATTATAAAATAACAATAAATCCGATTTTAAAAGATTTTCATTATCCTTTACCGCGGATTGAAGAACTTTTTGCGACCTTGGGGGGCGGCGAACAGTACACAAAACTTGATTTATCAAATGCGTTCCAACAATGTTTATTAGATAAAAAATCACAGCCGCTGACAGCAATTACCACTCATATCGGGACGTTCATTTACAAAAGAGTACCTTTTGGAATAAAATGTATTCCTGAAAACTTTCAAAAGATTATGGAGGAAACATTGAGTGGCTTGCCTTCAACGGCTGTATTTGCAGATGACATATGTGTAACTGGAAAGGATAAAACTACCCATTTAGCAAATTTGAGAGCAGTGTTAGAAAGGTTAAAACAAAATGGGTTAAGAATCAATTTCTGGGTTTTACTGCACTCTAACTTTATAGTAAATGTCAATTCTTTAAGGATTGTGTAACGTATTTAGATTATAAAATTGATAAGGACGGCTTGCACACGGATTTTAACAAAATTAAAGCCATTATGCCCCATCTCCAATAAATGTAACTCAATTAAAAAGTTTTATGGGCCTTGTTAATTTTTACTCAAAGTTTTGTTCAAATATAAGTGATATAATGAAACCGTTGTACAACTTATTACAAAAAAAATGTTAAATGGCAATGGAATGACGAGTGTGAGGTTGCTTTTTGTCGAATGAAAAAATTATTGAGCAGTGCACCAGTATTGGCACACTACGATCCTACTCTGCTGTTGGTGTTATCAGTGGACAACAGCACATACGGACTGGGCGCCGTGCTCGCTCAGCGGTACGCAGACGGCAGTGAGCGACCCGTGAGCTGCGCGTCGCGTACACTTAACGCCGCCGAGCAAAATTATTCGCAGCTGGACAAGGAGGCACTCGCAATTGTGTTCGGTGTGCGCAAGCACCACCAATACTTATACGGGCGACAGTTTATTTTACGTAATGATCATCGTCCATTGAGTTACATCTTTGAGCCAAATAAAGGAATACCTGTGACAGCCGCAAGTAGACTACAGCGTTATGCCATTCAGCTATCTGCTTATAATTTTAAAATCGAATATTTTAAATTTTCTGCTTCTAGTAGAATTCCTTTGAATTCTACTAGAAGCAGAGTCAAATGTGAGGACAGCGACTGTAGTTACCTTAATTTTGTGCAAGAAAATTTTCCACTTAGTTTTAAAGACATTAAAATTGAGACGGCTAAAGATTCCTTATTGAGTAAAATATATGATTACGTAATGTTCGGGTGGCGAAAAACTAGTAATATTGGAAATGAAAAAGCATATTTTAATCGTAAGGAAAATATTTGTGTGGATCAAGGTTGCCTAATTTGGGGTTACCGGGTAATAATTCCCAAATCATTACGATTGTCAATTTTGAAAGAAATTCACGACGGCCACCCAGGCATCGTAAAAATGAAGCAAATAGCGCGAAATTATGTCTGGTGGGAAACATTGGACGTTGATATCGAGCGAACAGTACAGGAATGCGTCGCATGCCGGTCGCAGCGCTCAGCTCCCGCCCCGGCTCCCCTGCACTCCTGGTCGTGGCCGGAGGAACCATGGGCTCGATTAAATTTAGATTTTTAGGGCCATTTAATAATAAGTATTACTTAGTTATTGTCGATGCTTATACAAAATGGATCATGTTTCTGGTACGTCCGCTGCGGTGGTAATAGATTGTTTACGAAAAAAATTTGCGCGTTTTGGCTTACCTAAAATAATTGTTAGCGACAATGGCCCGCCTTTCTCCTCGGCAGAATTTAAAAAAATATTTGGACATTAACGGTATTCGCCATACCGTAGTTGCACCATATCACCCATCGAGCAATGGGGCGGCTGAAAATGCTGTGAAACTGGTTAAGAGGGCATTAAAAAAAGGTCCAAGTTGACAATGAAAATGTTAATACGGCACTCAGTAAATTTCTTTTCTCATATAGAAACACTGAACATAGTACCACTGGGTGCGAGCCCGCAATGCTTATGTTCGGTCGACGGTTGCGTAGTCGACTGGACCTGCAGCGGCCTGTCACACGAGACTTGGTGCGACAGCGGCAGGAGATTAGTGAGCGGCGACGAGACGCTCTGCGGGTGGCTGAGCCCCAAGATCCCGTGCTACTACGGGACTATTCTCAAAACCGGGGAAAGTGGACTGAAGGAACGGTGGTACGTCGAGAAAGTCCAGTTTCTTATACAGTAAAGTCTGAAGATGGTCGTGCACACAAGAGACACATTGATCAAATCTTAACAACTAAACATCCAAAGTCTAGATTTTCATTGTCAAAGGTGGAAGAGGAGGCGTATGACAAAACTGATACAGAGCCAATGGCGAAGCCTGACACTGATCAGGACGATCAAGTCGCAGATGAATGGCAACTGGCACAGGAGTCGCCTCCCTCGAGAACCGTGTCTGAAAGACGTGACGACAACACCAACAGACAACAACCGACAACACCGAAGAATCGTGTTCATAGAAAGGCTGCATTATGCTGCATTGATAAATTAAAAGAGATGTAAAGATATTTTATGGTTTGTTTTCATACATCACACTCATCACTGCACAGCTATTAATGAGGAGTGAAACACATGTAGCAACTATCGATATTTAATATAGATAGATATAAGTTTATCTGATGTATTATATTGGCTTCTCGTTCATATAAATACGTATATATATATATATATATATATATATATATATATATATATATATATATATATATATATATATATATATTATGTAACTAGTTACTGTACCGTCATTCATCAACCATGCTTAGTGAATTTAACGGTGTTTCCTTACACATTATTGTATTGACATTGTAGTTTATTATTTTTTTTACTTAAAAAATGGCATGTCTTTCGTTTGTTTGAGTTAGATTATTTAAAATATAGGGGGAAAGTGTTATGTCGGTACTTCGATAATAAATGTGATGTGAGTTAATTTAAGTTTTCAATAAACAGTCGTTACCAAATCTCTGCTTTTATTGACGTGTACATTACACATACGGTACACCTAATGATAAGTGACTACTACTGCCCATGAACAACCATTGGAATTGCAGGTGCATTACTGGCCTGTTAGAAAGGAGTAAGCTCTTTTCTTAAAGGTCCCTAAGTTGTATCGGAACAGAAAAATCACAAGTGGTAAATGATTCCCTAAAAAGCTCATATGAGGAAGAAAACTCCTAGTAAAATGCAGTAGTGGACTGCCAAGCATCTAATACTTGTAAGATAGATATAACAATAATAATATTGTAATACTTCGCAAGACTACTGAAAATACCCTCAATATGTTTTCAATTTTAACTATTTTTGAGGATTGGCTATTGTATCCTGCGGCACAATTTCATTGGTGATTTTAGTCTTGATGAAAGTACAACTATGCATTTCCAGTGGGGGCTATTGCCCTCGGGTGACTCCCATTAATAAATGGGAGTCACCCCATTAATAAATGGTACTAACTACTACTAATGGGACCCCATCTCTCCCACCCTGTCGCCTGTCAACTCCCAGTTAAAGTGACTTATTTTGTTTCTTCTGTATTGTGGAAGCAGTTTACATACATAAATTTGCATATTTTATATAACTGATTTTTAATATAAAACTTTCATAAATGCATATGGGGAAGGGCGGGGGAAAGGTCACCCCTTCCACCTCACCTTAAGTCACCCATCACATCACACCTCATGCTGCAGAATACTAAAGCAATACCATTTTTATAAGGTATCAAAGTATCAGTTATTACCTTTAATGCTTCATTTGGAGCATCAAGGAAATGAAACATTCTCATACTACTGGACCAAATATAAAAGAACCAAATCTAAATTCATTATTTTGACTGTTGAACCTGAAAGGATAAATATAGCATATTTTCAAACAGGTAAAAATCACACGTTTCCTAAGAAGCAAAAAGAATAAAGCCAAAGTCCAATTTGTTTCACTTATAGTCTTTGCGTTATAGCATGGTGAGCGTGACAGCTTACAGTTGTCTAAAGATGGAACAATGTTTAAACAATTTTAAAAGGGCGATTATCGATACACAAAGCAAAGCAAAAATTATCGATTAGCTATCGATATAAAAATTAATACCGAAACATGTATTTCTTTATAAACTTCAATGCATTTAAAATTAAGTTAAAGTTTAATACAAATTATGACATAATAGTTGTTCCCGCGACCTCGCTCGCATGGTGTTTATTACGATTGGATTTAATAGATTTAATTTTTTTTGTGCAGAATCCTAATTCATTTTCTAAAATAAAAGTAGCCTGTGTTACTCTTTATAACATCAGCTATATGCTAGTGTCAACTATACGCTGGAACAAACAGACAGACAATTTTTAAAAATTATGTTGGTATTTTGTTATAATTACAGTATAAACTTTCATATGCATATAATAAAAGCCTGGTATTTGTAAATTATAAACAGACACGTCAATGTATGATGTGTATTAATTTGAAATTAACCTTCAAGCGGGCGCGCGGTCATTTGTAACGGGAGCGAGCGTGCGTAACCGAAAAGACCTAAATAAGAGAGAAATAAAGCACTAATTATTCAACATTTATTTGTACTCAGATATATTATCATTGTCTTTAAAGTCTGATTTGTCAAAAAAAGTAATTAAAATTATGAAAAAGAAACAATTATTAAATTAATTAACATAACTCAAATATTCTTTGCATGAAAACAAAAATTAGGAACACAAAACCCTTTTACATATCTCAGACTAGTTTATATACCTAGTCTAATAATAAAAATTACAAAATAAGAATAAAAATTAATTAACTTTGGTTTAGTTTTCATCAGAATCAGTTTCTTCGTCCATATAACATTGATTGCAAATAAATGTTGTATGACTTCTGCAAATATTTTTCATACATAACTTTTTTTATTTTTTTGTTTTTACATTGCGTTTTTGATTGCCTCCTTTTTTGGCTGGACATATTTTACAGGTTCCTCTGCATGTGCCAGAAATACGTGCTTCTGTATCAGCAGCACTATCGTCCATATTCAAATGCTCCCTTATGTTTCTTTTTAGTTTTCTTGGAAGGCCTAACATCGTTGATCTTCTTTGGACATACTCTTTTGTCAATTCAGTGCCTAATGCCCGTAAATACAATCGCCTTTTCCGTAGAGTCACATTATTTGCTCTCAATATCACCATACTATTTATTCCTGCAATATCCAGAAGACGAAAGAAGAGTGTCAATGGCCATCTATTATTCTTCCTTGAAACCGAATACATTTTTGCTTTTTTATCAACTTCATCGACACCCCCCTTTGTTTTATTGTAAAATGTAACGATGCTGGGTCTGCGCTTTTCATTTGTACTTTCATCAATTTCTGCAGCACAATGAAGTGATGATATAAGAACTACAGATCTTTTCTTTTAGGGCACGTAATATACGAGTGTAGCTTTATCCGAAAATCCAAATTAACTTGAATATTCAGGTTGGTTTTTATCTATAAAGCAAGGAGGTATTTCTTTCTTGTTTTTATGCATGGTACCCACAACAGAAATCTTATAGTCCTTGGCCAAATCGTATCAGCGGCACACTGGTATACCAATTGTCAATGGTAAGGTTTCTTCCAGTGCCAGAAATTGGTGTAATTAGCCTCTTCATGACGTCTGCCGCAGCATTACTCAACTGATATGGGCCTTCAGGCTGCTTGCCAGCATAAAGCAATATTTAGGACGTAAAACGTAGCAGCACCTACTAGTGGATAAAGTTTGATTCCATATTGGTTGGGTTTTGATTTCATGTACTGTCGGAAAGGACATTTTTCTCGAAAGCCAACCATCATCTCAACGATTACAAGGTTCTCTCCCACTGAATATGGCAAAAGACAGTGTTTGTGTAAACATATCTAAAACTTCTCTTATTGCATTGCAGCTTTGTCTAGAGTACGACGAGCTTGTCGCGTAGTAGCTTCATCAAACCGCAATGAATTCAGTAGAAATTTTACTCTTTTCACTGACATAGTAGTAGGAAAAATAGGTATACCTGTCCCATCACTTGCATATAAATCTTCTAAATCGGCGTGTGTGTCTTCAAGGATCCCGCTACATACAAAATCCGAAAAGTGCTCGAATTTCCACCGCATCGGTCGGTTTGCAATCACGTATTCTGTTATACGATGGCGCATTTTTTTGAATAAATTCATTGATATATCTAACAACTTTTTCAATAATATTCTCTGAAATGAATAAACTCCATGCTTGCGTAAATGTTGTCACCCCCACACCATTCCCACGAGTGCCCGCATCTTCCGTGAGAATATTTTGAACTTGACGCCTCACTCTGTTGTTAGATTTTTGCCACTTCGTTACTTTATCGCACCCTGTAAAACAGCTACCTATTTCTGAAAGTGGCAAATCATCCTCTTCTGAGTCCGAGCAGTTTGATTCCTCAGCAGATCGAGGTTCCTCCACAACAATGTGGTCGGAAGTCTCAGAGCCTTGGTTGCTGAGCTCTGATTCACTCTCTTCTTCGTCTTTTCTTAGTAATTTCTCGAGTATTGCACTTTGTGGTAACCGTCTAAGCCTCATTTTATATAAAAAATCCAAGCTTAATTCAACAATATTGAATGATGGCCGAAGAACAACTACAGGCGTGAACGAGGGTATGTCGCGTTGAGCGTCACGCGTAATTTTTTCGACGACAGGCGCGTGTAGTCTTTTCGACGACTGCACCGGGACTAAAACAATTGCGATCTGTGGAGTGGGGGGAGTGCCCCGAGCGACGGTTTATTCTTTATTTTCATCATCATCATCATCATCATTACAGCCCTTCACAAGTCCACTGCTGAACATAGGCCTCCCCCAAGTAATGCCACAAAGCACGGTCCTGAGCCACCTGCATCCATCGACTTCCTGCATGTCTTACCAGGTCGTCACTCCATCTAGTGGGGGGTCGCCCTACACTACGCCTACCGGTACGAGGCTGCCACTCGAGAACCTTTCTTCCCCATCGGTTATCGGTTCTTCGAGCTATATGGCCGGCCCATTGCCACTTCAGCTTACTAATCCGTTGGGCTATGTCGGTCACTCTGGTTTTACTGCGGATATCCTCATTTCTGAGTCTATCACGCAGAGAAACTCCGAGCATAGCCCTCTCCATAGCTCGCTGAGCGACCTTAAGCGTCCTCATACGGCCAGCAGTGAAGGACCACGTCTCAGATCCGTAAGTCATCACTGGCAACACGCACTGGTTGTACAATCTAGTTTTTAGAGATTGAGGTATACCTGACGAAAAGATATGCCGTAATTTCCCGAACGCTGCCCAGCCGAGTTGAATCCGTCGATTGACCTCTCGGTCGAAGTTGGACTTACCTAGTCGGACTATTTGTCCCAGGTAAACGTATTCGTCAACAACTTCGAGCATAGTGCTCCCAACAACTACCGGCATAGGTGTGACATGGACATTGAACATGATCTTTGTTTTGTCCATGTTCATCTTAAGACCTATCCGTTGGGAGGCACTATTGAGGTCATTGAGCATCGTGCTTAAGTCCTCCAGCGATTCTGCCATAAGGACTATATCGTCGGCAAATCGAAGGTGAGTGATGTACTCGCCATTGATGTCAATACCGTATCCTTTCCAGTCCAGTAGCTTGAAAACGTCTTCCAATGCAGCGGTGAAGAGTTTCGGGGATATAACGTCACCCTGTCTTACACCTCTCTGCAGTTGGATAGGTTTCGAGCTCTGGTTCTGTACTCGGATAGCCATCGTAGCCCTACTGTACAAACACTTCATCACTTCGATATACCGACAGTCAACTTGGCACCGCTGAAGGGACTGTAGCACCGCCCAAATTTCGACGGAATCAAAGGCTTTCTCATAGTCCACATACGCCAGGCAAAGTGGCAGATTGTACTCTTCAGTCTTCTGTACAATCTGCCGCAGGGTATGTATGTGGTCTATGGTACTGAAGCCTTTTCGGAAACCGGCTTGTTCGGGAGGCTGGAAGTCGTCAAGTCTGCGTGCGAGACAATTCGTAATGACTCTCGAAAACAGCACGTAGACGCGGCTCAGAAGGGAAATCGGTCTGTAGTTCTTTAAGAGAGCGTTGTCGCCTTTCTTAAAGAACAAGACCACCGCACTTCTGCTCCACGCCTCTGGAGTAGTGCCACCATGGAGGACGGAATTGAAGAGCTTCTGAAGGACTTCAAGTACCGGTGTTCCACCCGCTTTCAGAAGCTCCGCTGTAATTCCATCCTCGCCTGGGGCCCTGCCGTTTTTAAGGTGCTGGAGAGCCATTCTAATCTCGCTTAGACTGACGTCCGGGATATCATCGGAATAGTGTCGGATAAGACTTGCTCTTGGATCGTTACTCACACTTGCGTGTGGCTCCAACGATGATGTGTACAGCTGCCCATAGAACCTCTCAATCTCACTCAAAATCTCAGGTGTCCCGGAAACGATGTTGCCACACTCAGTCTTCAGCCTTGACAGTTGGCTCTTTCTGGCAGACAGATCTCTGGCAAAGACTTTGGAGCCCTGGTTCCGCTCGATCGCTTCTTTAATACGAGAAGTATTAAAGTTGCGTAAGTCTCGCCGTATGCATTTGGAGATCTGTCTGTTCAGTTGCCTGTATGCTGTCAAATCTGTTGACGATTGCAGCCTCATCTCCCGTCTAACAGCCATGAGATTAAGAGTGTGATCGGAGAGTTTTTGTGTTCTTCTGCGGCGGGTCTTGCAGAACTTAGCTCCGACCGCATGGACAGTTTCCACGAGCTTGTCGTTCATATCGTCCACTGCATTGCAATCTTCTAGGCACTGGAAGCGGTTACGTAACTCGAGCTGAAAGGTTTCGGGATTCTGGATTAGAGCACGAGGGGGACGGAGCGTTGACTTCATTAGACGAGACCTCTCCAACTTAACGTTTAGGTTCAGTGTGCCTCTAACCATTCGGTGATCGCTGCCAGTTTTCACCCTTGCGATCACTGAGACATCACTGAACAGTTGGCGTCTGGTCGTCATAATGAAGTCAATCTCATTTTTTGTCGAACCGTCGGGGCTCGACCAGGTCCACTTCCTGTGGGGCCGCTTCTGGAAGAAAGAGTTCATCATAAAGAGTCCCTCTTTCTCCATAAAGTCGGCCAGCTGCTGGCCCCTTCGGTTCCGTTGCCCTACTCCAAATTTCCCTACCTTCAGCTCACCGCTTTCTCTTGTGCCCAGTTTTGCGTTGAAGTCTCCCATCAACACCGTGTAGTAGGTTTTGGAGGAATGTATGGCTCTGGAAATATCCTCATACATTTCCTCCACCTCCTCATCGGGATGTGCCGAGGTTGGTGCGTAAACCTGAATGACCTTCAGCGAATACCGTTTGGTGATTCTGAGTATCAGGTACGCGACCCTCGTCGACACACTCCCAATCTTTACAACGTTGTTGACGAGAGATTTGTGGACGATAAATCCGACACCTCCTTGGGACAGATGGTCGCCCTCCCGGTGATAGAACAAGTTGCCGGACTCGAGGATTGCCGTGTCCTCCCCCTCTTCGGACCTCGGATAATCCAATAATATGCCAGCGCAACTTGTTTACCTCTTCTTCCAGCTCCAGTATCTTCTCGTCAGTCCTCAGGGTGCGTGCGTTATATGTTGCCAGGTCGAGTCGTCGTAGGTGGCAACCGAACCTCCACCGGAGATTCTTAGCACCCCCTGCCCCGCCGTTACCATGGTCGCCACCGTAGCCAGGAATAGCGGGGCCGCCGGGGACTGGGGGCCGTCTGTTTGTGTATTTATTCATTGGGGGGTATTTGCCATAGTTGCCACGCTTGGCGAGCGGGTTGGCAACCGCAGTTTTTTATTACGTCACAGTTGTCATCAGGAAGACGCTGCTGCCCATCTCCTGCCTGTCTCCCTCTGTCGCCTCTTACGACACCCACGGGAAGATATGGGGTAGTGGATATTCTTAACCGCCACTACACGGCCGTATTCTTTATTTTACTCCCAATTAAATAGCGACAAGCTACTAGAAATGAGAAATAAATGTGATGGGTAATAATAATATGAATGAAAATGTACTAAGCGCGGTCGATTCGACTACGCTCGTCGCGTCAATAATCATCTTTATATTTCATGTTAATTGCAACATTCATATTGACATTTAAACAAATAAAATGACTGCCAGCATCTGTAAATTTCAGTATGGTTTTGACTGCACCAGTAGCTTTTCAAGGTATGCGCACTAGTGCCTTTCTCTATATGTGTATTAGCATTGTAAGGTCCAATGGGCTAAATATCAGGACAGAAGGTTAAATTTATCGAGAATTTGGTTTTCAAATCCAATGTAATAAAAATAAAAAATAGGTTTTTGTAGCCAAGTAGTTTTGACACATTTATAATTATTCTTTTTGCCAAGCTGGCCAATGAATAATTTATCATTCATGTATTGGAAACACTGCATATTTGTCTATGTGCATTTTTTTCTGTAAATCAGAATTTGTTGAACGATTAGTTACAATGCCAATAAATATTTACGTGTTTTTTATATATTCGATTTATTTCAAAACTGATTCTTGATAGTCTGTGATTGTTCGATATGGCACATGTGCCACATCAATCACGTAAGTAGGCGGTACCCATCCATGAAGTACAACAAAATCTGTATGACCATTCATTATCTAAAAAAATATGAAACTTCATAGGCATAAGCTGTCATAGGCACCATGCTACAACGCAGACTATTGGTGTGTTATGAATTGCAAAGATTTCTAAAGCACTATGAACACATGATAGTTCAGCAGGCTGTGGATTATACAGTAAGGCAGTTCCTGTTGATCAGTAACCTGTTCATGAGTTAATGATGATTCTTAAGTCGACATAAGTAAGTCAGTGAGCCTTGATAATAAGCTCTAAGAGTAATAGCAGCAAATGAATGGAAATGTTTTTTTATAAATGGATGACATGAATTTGAGTTAAATAATAAATTTGAAAACAGCTTTTTATACTGTGCAATAGTATATTAAAATTGCTTACTTTTTAATCATATTTAAAACAAGATCTAAATCAGTGGGCTCTGCCATGTGCACCATATTTTTCAAATCTTCTGTAAATATCATATTCTTTGGTTCGAAAACAAAATCCTTCATTTTGGACCTAAATTTATCAGAAAAATTGGAAAACTGATCCTTTATCCGCTTACGTGATTGAAGATAACCGTCAATGCCGAGTGCAGATGGTGAGTAAAGCTTAAGGGCTGAAAAAGGAACAACAAATAATATTATATATAAATTTTTGTAAAATGTTTTATTAAATAAAGAAAGTACTTTTCTTTTACCACTAGTTGCATGAATTGATCTGCTTGATATTAAAAAGCGTAGACATAAAATGGGTGGATTTTTCACTGATTTTATAAACATTGTAATTTCGAAATAAAAAGAATGTGAGTAATTTTAATAAATGACAAAGGAAATAGAAAAGAAAGAGGTTATGTATATGTACCCCTTTTTCTTGTTAGAATCTTTGATCGCCATACCATAGATTTGCATAGATTAATGCAGATTACTGCGTAGACAGAGGATTACTGTGTATCTGTGTTTAGTACTCTTACTAGTTTGTGGTATAATACTAATACGTAGACAGAGAAACCTATAGACAAATTGACGCCTTCTTTCGCATTCGCACACGAAAAAGATAGATTTATGCATACGTCTTGCATAGAAATGAGATAGAGCGGTGTGATTGTTTGTCCCTTTCTCCGTGCCGGTTTTTTTGTTCTAACATGACAGCGTAGCGATTTAAGGAGTTTACAAGTTGGTTTAAGTGAGAAAAAAGTGTTTTGTGAGCATAAGATTGGTGAATCTTGTTCAGTTAAGTTCTTAGAACAATTTAAATTTTTATCTAAATGTGTTTAAAAGTCATAAAGATTATCGTATAACCTAAAAATTCGTTATCGTCCTTTCTCACTCGAGGCCACACCGATCATTACTCTATAGGTTTCTCTGTCTACGTACTAATACTTATATTATATACGTCGTAGACAGAAAAACCTATAGGCTAATGATCGGCGTGGCCTCAAATGAGAAAGGACGATAACGAATTTTAGGTTATACAATGATTTTACAAGCAAGTTATATATCATACAGAGGATTTCATTTATTACGACCTTGGTTGTAGCAATCATTTACCTATAGCGACGTTTAATCTAAGCCCCTTGAATTTAAAGCATACTTTAGTACAATGTTGTTCATCAATTCATGCGGCTATAGCGACTTTGGATGTAACGCCGATTTCGGGTATTGCGACTGTTTTTATTGAATTATTTGTAATAAATTATTAGAAATCCCATGCAAATACTGCGACCGGAGTCGGCCACCAAAGACACAAAGATTTATTTTTTCACAAACATTTCTTATCTTTTGTTTACATCTACACAGATTGTCAGCAAGTGTGGAGACCTTTACTCTTGTTTATAGATATCACCTAAGTAGGTAGGAGAGCGCGTACGTTTCGGAGTCAAATTTACGGTTCAGTTATCAAGTGACATTCTGAGTAGCATTTTGAAATGCACCAGTGAATAACTATGTGTGCAAATATTTTCAATAATAAATGAATATAAACTACCTACATGTGTACGTGTCTGTATCTCTTTACCTTTGCTTGTAACGACTTCCGGATATAACGACGAAAATAGAGTGGTCCCTTCATCGTCGTTATACCCGAAATCCACTATATTTTATTTAATTATTTAGATTTTAAATGAAAATTATTATTATTTTCGCAAAATTCGAAAATCTGGCATGATCATGAAATGATTAATTAAAAAATGCATCCCTATCATTATTCTTGAAATATGTTGTGAGACATTTATTTGCTTTGATATATTATGAAAAAGTTACAATATTATTATCACAATATCAAAATCAAATCAATTTTATGTGGTGATTAGGGTCATATTGTAACATAGTAAAATATACATAGAAGAAAAAGACCTATAAGAGAAGATGAGGGCACACACTACACAACAAAAAAACTTTTAGCACGCAACAGTTTGATAGCAGATCTAGGTACCACAAAACTCGGCGCTTAAAATGGTGATACATTCACGCATGGATGAGCTAATGACGTCACACGAAAGTGTTGTCAAAATAAGCAATTGGCAAACTGTAGTTGTCTCCTTTTTCTAATGAAGCTACTGCTTTGTTAAAAAGAAACAAAACTGTTTTTGACAAGTGTGTGTCGATATTATACATATTTGTATAACTATTATTTCTATAGTAGAATATGCCGTCTCCATAGGTATTATATCTCTATAGGTAAGGAGGACAATCTCCCATACATGGAGGTTAGAGTTAGAGAACAGGAGAACGATCGCTACGTACTAAAGCATAGCCTGCCTGTCCTTGAAAATTTGTAGAATTTATAGCGGCGCTGTCGCCGGTGAGTAGTGGCTGCGAAGTTAGCTGTTTTTGTTTTTTTTTTTAAATTCTTTCCTTACCCAAACAGTAAAAATATAAATTAAAATTTATTTTATTAAAAAAAAAAAAAATATAAAAATTTTTATAAAAAAAAAAAAAATTTTTTTTTTTTTTTTGGTTTTTTTTTTTTTTATATAATGTTGTTTTTTTTTTTTTTTTTTTGGGGGGTTTTTTTTTTTTGGAAAAAAGGGGGGGAGAAAAAAAAAAAAAGAGGGGGGGAAGGGTGGTTGGGGGGGGTTTTATATATATATATTCTGTTTATGAGTACAAGTTGATGAAGTTAGTTGAATAATATACAAATTTTCTTCGCGGCATAGGAGAGAAAATTTTCATGCTCCTTTACCTTTTCCTCGCCGATTTGCACTTTAACACACTTCACAAGGAACACATTCATCACAAGGAACACTCTTTCCCTCCATTTTCACTAAAAATCTTTAAAAAAGTATAAATTTTCAACTCGCAATATTTTACATTATAATATATTCGCTCAAGCTCAACACACAATGTAAACATTGAAATGTTACGTGAATTTGCAAAAATATCATCGGCGTCGCCCACGCGCCTCCGTGTCTCGACTAACTTCATACCTAATGTATACGTCCCACTTTAGACAGGACGTTCCCGATTTATAGGTTTGTGTCGCACTGTCCCCAAAATACATAAAAATGTCCCACTTTGACAAACAAAAGCGTAGCAATCATGTAAACTCTGTCACCCGTGTCATCATTATGGCACCGCGCGTACCAGGTTTGCCGCCATGGCCTGTATAGTTACATGATTATTCTGAAAAGCAACACTTTTGAATTTAAAGTTACGAAGTGACAATTTTTAATTAATCTACTATAAATTATCAAATAACATAAGTTATTTCCAATTAGTATTTATTTGATGTTCAGAATTCACTTTTGATCGTTAAAAGATTCAAATAACTATGTGTTTTATTTATAAAACTATATTAAAGGGCTCCAGATTGAATTTTGGTAACGGCGGCCATTCTCAACGGAAAATAGCCATCTGCGCATCTAGATTATATTGCCCAAGTGTAATACTACTGCTACTGAGAATTTCGTGACAGAAAAATACAATAAATAATTTTTGACCTGACTCAGGTTTCGAACTTGGGACCACATGATCAGCAATTTAGTTTACGACCTTTAGACCAAGAAGGCAGTCAAAGGTGTTAAAACTATAATAATTTTAAAGGCGTCCCGTTCTTAAAAGACACTAATAATCAATCACACCGATTCACTTTATTTCGCTCCGAAGCTTCTCTTGTCTTGCCAAATTCAATACTGCCCCGATCACGGTATGCCGGTTATCGGGGCAGTATTGAAGCAGCAGGCTTTAAATACACCTTTTGCACCGAAACATCCAGAATATTCCAGTAAATACGAACCAACCAGACGTAGAAAGTTCGAGTGTGGAGCTTCTAGAAACCTTAACTCTTCTGTTCAATACTAGATGGCGCTGTTGGTCGAAAGTTCAAGATTGACATTTTCTAGGAAGCCCTCCTCGCTCTGGTCTCCGACACTAGATGGCGCTAGTGCCAGGTACCTGACTTCAACTTAGGCGCGCAACAATACTAATTACTATTTATACAATCGTAGTTATATTTCATTATAGAACATTTTGCCACAGGTTAGAAAGGGAGCGATCGTCTTCTCGAAAGCCCGGTAAAAAGCCCACGCGTGCGAGAGAGACAACCAATCGCTTAATTCATCTATCCTTATATATATGAAAGCAGTATCCCTAAGTTTACGAACGTGACGAAAAGAGCGCGCAGGAAATTTGAAATAGTTTGAAACAGTTTACGAGTTATTTTATTACTTGATATTATTGATTCATTCAGCTTGATAAGGCAAGCCGGGCTTCTGGGCTTCTATGGAGGCTTCGCCACTGCCCTTAACATTTTTTACAGAACATTGTAAATAATTGTCTATATTTTCTTTGAAAACTTTGTTTTTAAGGAATAAAAGCCTTGAAGAACTGTCATATTTCTTTAGCTTTTACAAATTCTATTCTTACTGCTTAAAATTTGTATTCATTGTATTTAGTTTGGTAGTCGATTCCTTATTTTCACTAACAGCTAGAGATCACGTTAAACTTTTACATGTTTTCTTATATTTTGATGATAAACTAGACATATTTTTTAGTCTTTTCTTATAATTATCTAAATATAACAAGATGTAAATTTGTTACTTCTGTTTGCACACAACATTAGGTATTATGTTTTCATGTTGGTCTTGGGTTAGCTCCATTGTCGGGTCTACCGAGTTCAATTTGATCTGTTTAGAACTGTAATAAAACAAACACATATTATGTAGTTTCTTACTAAATCCTTACAAATTTAGGTATGTAAGACAGAAAGTTATACCTTATTGGACAGTCTAAATTTATTTCACCTAGACATCTTCGCTTCATTGTATTTTTCTTTTTATACAACTTCAGGGTTGGTACTGAACCTGGCATTACTTAAAAAATTATTAACTTTTATTCGTACGTCGACATATTAATATATGGAAAAAACACATTCATTATATAAATATTATACCATCTAAATATTGACATCTTACCCCTGGCTATATAAAGCTTTATCGCGAAAACACATTCTACATTAAAATAATTTTGATTTGACAAACAACGTAATTGTTGGAGAAATAATCAGCATCTTTAATTTTCATCAAATTATCCAGGTCAGTTCTTTTACAAGCCACACTCCATTACTTCAATCTAAAAGGAAATATATTAATAAGTACTATAAACGAAATATTATAATTATTATGTTAAACAAAATCACATACCACTAGCCTCTCCAAATCTTTAGGCATTCCAGAGAATGATTTTTGTTCTTTTTGTTGTTTATAATTGTTGCAACCATATACAGGACAAATTAAACCACGTGGAAAACTCGTTTTTGAAGACATCTTTTATGAATTACTTAT